ACCTCTGCCCAGCGCGGTTGTCTGCGACAGTGCGCCCCGTGGGGGAGACCCCGCCTGCCTGAGACAGGCGCCCCGACACAGCCAAAAGCTCTGCTCCAGGGGGGCAGGAGGGGGAGGGGGAGGAGCGAGGGCCCGCGCCGATCGGCCAACCAAGGAGTATACAAGACAGAGATCACGTCGTGGCCCTCCCACCCAGGGCCCCGAACCTTCAGCTCTGGCCCTGCCGCCCCCACGGATTGAGCAGGGGCCGACGGTCCCGGCATTCCTATAGTCCTACCACGACATGCTGTCAGAGAACCCCAGACATGCCCTAAGAACAACAACACTATTCTCAGAACACAAACCAGCTGTGTTAAAACAGGACAGCCCCAGCCAGACATGCTCTAAGGACATCTCGTGGGAGCCACAAAAGGTTCTTAGAACACTGTTTGGTGGGGCTATAGAGGCGAGCCGGGACGCTTCGCCACTGCTTGATGGCCCATGGAGCCTGTGCGTGGCGCCCCGCCCGGCGCCCCCTCCCCGCACGGGCGGGTCGCAGAGGGCTCCCCGCAGGGCCGCCCGTCGGCCCGAGGTGTGGGGCCCCTTTTCGCGGCGACAGCTCCTCCTTCAAGAAGGCGCACTGGCTGGCTTAGGTCGGGCCCGTCCCCCTACAGGGAGATCTTCGACGAAAAAAACAAGATACCACCAAAATAGCCAAAAGATGCTCCAAAAATAGTCTGGGGACGATTTTTTGAATATCTTTTGACCATTTTGGGGTATTTAGGAGAATTTTCAATTTTCGTCGAAAATCCCCCTGTAGGGGGACAGGCCCGACATAATGGCTGGCAGCTCCGCACGCCCCTCTTACTCCCTGATTCCTCCGACGAGCGCTGGCCCCTCGCGGCACTTTCGCCCAAGTTCATCGGAAGCAAGTGCCGCGACCTCTTGGTGTCGCGTTCCTCTGGCCGCCATGGCCAGCAAGGTGGGCCTGCCAAGCAGCACCATCCCGGATCTCGGAGTCGCAAGGCAGCCCATAAGGGAGCACAGCTTGCTTCGCCAGGGGCAACGCCTCCTATGTTCTCTATCACGCCATTCTCTGTAGACGCACCGCCAGCTCCGTAGTGTAGGCTATCCTGTAGACCCCGCCTGGATATGAGGAGGACCATCTGATTGCATATCGCATCGCCTCCACCACTACTCCTCTACAGCGCCGCTGCGGTCGCAAATGCTCTGGCCGAAGACGTCCCCATCCTCGCAGATGGGCATCGCAACTTCGCGCTGGTGTACGGGTTTCTAAAAAGTTTCCAGAACCCGGTGGCACTGCCGCCGCAGACCTCAGACACGAGCCCTTACCTGTCCTGGCGCCGTGATCCCACACTGCCAGTTTCAGGCGTTGGCAGAAGTGGGTTTAGTGGGACCTGGTTTAGTGATGTGTACTGAGGGACGCCCCCCCCGCCCCGTTCCACTAACCGGAACTGCCGTCACCCGAAAAAACACCAGCTACGGCAGACCTGGGTTAGTGATTCTGGCCAATTCAAGGGCTCCGGGGCCCTACTACTAACTGGGTCCCCTTACCTGGGGTCCTGGTATACCCGACAGTTGAACATGCGTTCACCAGAGATGTCTTCACAGACGATTCTTGCTTCAACGACGGCTCCCACACGTTTCGCGCGACACGATGGGCGACTGTTGAAGAACACCGCCGCCCGCGAGCAGTTCGCAACGCCATGGGGCGCCGATGGGGCGGCCTATCCCCAGACCTCCCCCGCTGCGGGACGCATAGCGGTGCTCGCTGTGACGGGGCACTGTCCGCGTGCCACTGTCATCTACGGCAGGTTCGTGTCGTGCCGACCCCAGCGTTGGTTTTTGACACCGCAGGGATCGTTCAACCTTGAACGATCGGCCGCTGCCGCAATGTCCGATCGTTCAACATCGATCGATTCTTGGTCGCCGGCGGCGTTCAACCTTGAACGCCCGCGCTGGGGTCGCCGCTGGTCGACACGACGCAAACCTACCGTACTTGCTCTGACTTCCTAGGGGTGTAGCGCAGTTGGCCGCGGCCCCTGGGGCCAGGGTGGCCCCCCGCCGGCACGCTCGCGCGGGCCGGGGCCCCGGCTCCCGTGCCTCCTCCCGAGTCGTGCTTCGGCGACCCCGAGATCCCGAAACTGGCCTCCAGAGGCCCCTGATCGCGACGAGCGGGCCGCTCAGGCGATGCTCGATGCGCCAAATGCGCGCGCTCACACAGCAGAATCCTCCGAAGCTGCCTCTGTCGCTTGGTGGGCCTCGGGCCCGTTAACGTCTAGCATGCCGGCCAACGCAGAAGCGCAGCTGTTGATTGCTATGACCTCTACCGTAAATGATGAGACCACTGCCAAGTGGTAGATGGCCTGCGTAGCCAAAAATGCACTCACCGTGACGCCTGTGGTATCCCAGTGAGCTTCCAACGCCAGCCTGAGCCCCTCCTGGCGCGTCCGAAATGAGGTACGGACAAACGTTGGCACAGTGCCCAGCATCACATGTT